CAAAGGGCCATGCTCGCAGATAGGCCGCTCGAGGAGTCGGGCGCGGATGACCTACGGGTAGGAGAAATAGTAGTAGTCTCGATGGAGCCAGGGTCACATGCAGACGCCAGGGGACCGAAGACACCAGCTTGGGCACACACCGCGTGGTCGCTACCAATGAGGATAACAGAGTTGAGAAAAACGCAGGTAGTGGCAGAAAGATGCGACGTGCCGGTGGGCGAGGGCGGTCGCTTTCAGTTATTATGTCTCGCCCGTTGAAGCTTTTTGTCAAATAGGGGGGAGAGCCAGAAACCGTAGCAATGCAAGTCACCAGAACCAACACCGAGGACTCTTCCTACGACGGAGGCAGCACCCCGTCAGCAGCGGACCAGTACGACACACCCGAGGGCCGAACGGTGTGCCAAGGCACAGAACAAAAAGTTCACGTCACACAGAAATAACTCTACCGAAGGCGACCGACGGGTTCCGGCCGCCCTGACGGCTCAGCTTCCGGGCTGGCCTGGACCTGATGTGTCCGGGGCATGGTCGGTGAGTTGTCTATGGTGGGTTGGGCGCCGGGGCATCACTGTTGCTGTTGTCCCTGGGTTCGGCATCACGTTGCTGTTAATGGCCGTGCTGTGCGGCAGTTATCCTTCCATTTAGTCGTGGCAGTGAGTTGTGATCGGGATGTGTATAAAGATTTCTTCTGAGATCATTTTGTTCCTGTCGCTTGAACCTCCTCACCCCGTCTTGATGTACCTGGAACGTGAAGCCCGGCTGGCCGTATCTTTCCACCCTGACTTGCGTGCGGGTTGTGTTTACCACCTTCATGGGGAGGCCAGTAGCTTGGGCAGGTCATTTGGCGGCACGACCGCGAAGGTGACGTCCTTCTTGTGCTCGCCGATGCGGTCTCGGCTGGTGCTGGGTGCGGCAGGGTGCCGGATCCGAGTGCCGTGTCGATTCTCATGCTTCGCCCTGAGAATGGCACCCCCGCTCTCTCTCTGTCGCGCTCTCTAAGTACTTCGGCCCCGATATCTATGAAGAACTGCAGCGGGGTATTGCGTACCTGGGCCTTTACAGAAAAGGGCTCTCATCCGCCTTTCCGATGATCTGCGCGATTTTGAGTAAGGCTGCTTCAACCTCGTTCATCCGTGTCAGGAGGGATCTCGTCGGCTGCTCGGCCTCCGCATCTCGGTGGCTTCCGCTCTCTTCCGACGCTCGGCGTCCTTCGTCCGCTTGCTGTCGTATGGTGCGCTCGGCTCCGATTATGTTGCCGGCCGTCTCCAGCTTGTCACCGCGTGTGGTGTCGCCACCCACTCTGACTTGGAGGCGTCCTTATGACGTTTCTGTCAAAGTGTGGCCGGGCTTCCCGTATGCGTCCTGGTAGTATGTAGTACGAATGGCACACTTTTCTCCAGTGCCCCATTCGACCACGGTTGTCACAGCGTGAGTTGCGTGCTGGGCATTCCTCACCTTCTCCGTGGCGGGGGAGACCGCAGTTGTAGTAGAGCCACTTCGTCCTTATCCGACGTGGGGAGCGTACGCCGTCGGCGTCGTCTTCTGGTTGCTCTTGGGCCCTCTCCCCCGTTGCGACGACGGCCAGCATTATAGGATCCCTTCGAGAGGCAGCGGCAGATGTTCGTGGAGGGCACGGTACACCTGGACCAGAGCCTGAGGGATGCGCTGTAGAACCTGTTGGTCGCATACAGAGGCGCATGGGAGAACCCAAAGGCGGCGCGCGTCAAGCGCGAGGCGCGGTTCGAGGCAAGCGGCAAGCCGTACAAAGCGAGGTTGAGATATCTCGAGCCTGAGTTGCCGGCCGAGTTGCTGGAAGCAAGTGGAGAAGCAGCTGAAGCTCGGAGTCGTCCGGCCTTCGAAAAGCGAGTGGGCCGCCGCGCCGCACTTCGTGAAGAAGAAGACGGGCGAGTGGAGATGCGTATCGGCTTACCCGAGGGTGAACTAAAGCATGACTGCTGACTGCCGACTCGTAATCGCTGCCCCGAATATGGGACCACTTGAGGGCCGCAGCAGGCTCACGACTCTCGATATGAACTCGGGATTCCGG